CAAAATCTCTGTTTATTAAATGCATTGTTAGGTACATCCCACTTAACTCCATTGTAGAGAGTTTATAGTTGAGTATGAGACTTGAGATACAAGTAAAACTATTATATCGAGTTGTTAGTGCTTCAAGGAGAGTGCAAAGGACTGAAGAGGAAAGGGCACATTTGGAGATGGTTCCTGGAGATCGAGTAGAATATTTTATAGAGATTGGGGACAAGGGCATTTAAGACAGAAGGAATAATATAAGTACTAAAATATGAAGAAGACACATTACAAACATCCAAGAAGCTCAAGGTGAGTAGAATATAGGGTGTTTCAGGAAGATTCATGTGAGATAAAATGAGAAAGTTTTATTGGGGATGGTCAGGGAAAATCTTGAAAGACATGCTAAGTTAGAAACTTTCTTTTCTCTAGTAAATGGATAAAATTAAGACTTTAAGAGAAGGATGTAACACTAACAGAGCTGAACTTTAGGGGAATTGTTACTGCAGATTAGGTAGGAAGAAGTGTATGAGGGAAAGGAGAAATACAAAGTAGAGTCAGGGTATGATTTCAATAGTGAGAGGATGCAGAAGTCAGGTTGTAAAGAAGGCTGTGGCATCAGAAAAGGAGTGGGGGATGTGTGTGAGAAACTGTGCAGAAGGAAAAGTCTAGATAGCTGGACAAGAGGGATTTTAAGATAGCTTAGCTACTAGGGTAATCGTAGTTTAATTAAAGACATGTCAGTCTGGGATGAAAAGGATCACGACTGGACAAGGTGTGAAAGTAATTCTTTAGTTTCGATCATGTCTGGAAAACTATATTCATCTCTATCAAATTTGGTATCTTGGTTTACTTTTTCTTTCTTTTTTTTTTACTTTGACTACTAAAAGTTATGACTTTCTCCTATAATTAATACCTGATTGCACACACACACACACACACACACACAGAAAGAGAGAGAGAGAGATACAGAGGGAGGGAGGGAGGGAGGCAGAAAGGGCAGGTGTAATGAAGTAAGATTGGAGGAAATAAGACTAAGAACTTTCTGCAGGCATTTTGCAGTATCTGTAAAGAATTGAATCTAAATCTGCCCCTATACCCTATGGAATTATTTCTTTTCTCAGATCAAAGTAATATGGTCATTATTCTAGCATGGGCCAATTAGCTTACTGTTTCCATGGGCATAGGCCGCATCCTAGATTACCATCTGGTAAATGTGCACTCATGACCGCAGGTGCATCACAGAAAATATAGATATAGTATAATTAGTCACAAATTCATCAATACATCTGGAAATATAACTCAAAAAAATCTGGTAAATGTGCACTCATGACCGCAGGTGCATCACAGAAAATATAGATATAGTATAATTTGTCACAAATTCATCAATACATCTGGAAATATAACTCAAAAACTAAAAGCTATTGACATTGCAAGTGTAGCATTGCCTTTCTACGTGAAAAATACATATTATTTCTCTCCGCACCTTTGAGTCTTTATTAAGTAGAGTGGATATTTGATCTGAATATGAATTTCCTAATTCTATTAAATTATACCTTAAGTTTTGGATTATTTGAATCACATTGTGACACAATTTGGATTTCTTGGTTGGCAGGGGATTGGTTGTTTGGGATGATTTATTTTGTTACAGATTGAAATTAGTCATTCTCTTTGAACTTTGAAATGAGCACTTAGTCGAAAGAAGGATCAAGAACTGGCTTGAGAACACTGATTATTGAGCTTCCAGTCCAACAACTGTGTGTGGAGCTCTTCCCATAACAGGACCTGGTATAGAAAAGTGACATTACTTAACCTTCTTCATGTCTCAATTTCTTTGTTAAGAAAATGACTAAGCACATCAGTCATATTGCATGATGATTAAAAGTTTCTGCTCTGAAGTTAGACTTCTCCACCACCTAATGGCTGAGTATGTGAAACCCTTAGGAAGCAGCATAACAACTTTGTGGCTCAGTTTTCTCATCTCCAAATGGGGATAGTAATAATCCCGTAAATGAGATACCTATGTAAACATTGAGATATCTATCTTAGAACATTGACCAGCAATAGTAAATACCCCATATGGTTATTGTTAATATTATTTCTTTCATTGGGCCTTAAAAATTTAAGTGTTCTAAAACACAAGCTATTATTATTGTTGCTGTTGTCCAAAAGAAAAATTTTGGAGATCTGGATTGTTTATTTTTCCCTACAGATGGTGTCTATGATTCTTTGTATCTATTCCTTTCCATTTCAGCTTTTAGTCCAAGATGGAATGAAACATTCACATTTATTATTCGTGTGCCAGAATTGGCATTGATTCGTTTTGTTGTTGAAAATCAAAGTTTAATAACAGGAAATGAATTTCTCGGGCAATATACTTTACCACTTCTATGCATGAACAAAGGTAATGTTCCTAAAAAGTAAGATGATTGTGCTAACATTTAAATGTAACTTGTCTTTAGCAAAGACACACTTGGATATGCCAAATAACTCTATTTATAAAATAGGATGGAAAGGAAATTTTATGAATGGACTCATTTTTTTAACAGAAATCTGTTCTCATATAGAAGGTGGAGTGGGGGTACAGGATTGCAAGGAAGATTTTTAAAACAAACTTAGTATGAATAAGCATTTCCTTACACAGTTCATAGTTCATAGATCAGAGTTCTTCTGGTTCAGGGAGGAGTGGTCACGACTAGCATAAAGTAATGAAGAATGGTAATCAAACAGAAGAGAGAGCAGTGACTCATTCTTCCTGCCTGAGGAAAGGAGAATGGGAGCCTGGGGCTGTCCTTTCCTGACTCTCTTCAGGGCTGTCTTTATGTTGCAGAGTCACCTTTCCAGGGTGATTTACACTGTGCTCCCAATGAACTCGCCTCAACATGTTTACATTTCTAACATCATCTGAGATGCATCTAGGAAACAGGGTCTTTCTGAAGAAGGATGGTGGCTAATTATGGAGCA